ATAAACTATTTCCAGCATATAAACTATGATGTAACGTTCGTCAGATGTAGACAATTTAAATTAAAACTTAAACTTACAAACGTAGACTTTAATTTTGCTCAGACTTTAAATAGAAACACATTCTCATAAAATTAAAAAAAAGAAAGAAGGAAACTTTGAAATTAGGCTAAAAATAAAATAAAATAAATAAACGAGCAACTAAATCCAGAGAGGGACGTCCCTGAAGTGTGTTGGCCCAAGAGCAAATATTTGTAGGGGGCTATGTCCAATGTAGGAACAGCGTAACACTGCGTGTTTTACAATGTTTTAAAGGTTAGTTTCCCTTCGAAATTGATGTAAAGTAAAGTAAAGGGTTCTATTCCTTAATGAAAAATTTAATTATCTCTATTCTATAAATGTAAAGATTGAAAGTAAGGGAGATTATAAGTGGTAGAGAATGTATTTATGGCCTCACATCATAAGATATTGATTGACCTTCTCCTTCACGCATTTGTATAGATCGGCAAATTTATGAATAACATAACTGTCCTTAGATAGCTTGATCTCTGCTCTCACCACATTCTTAAATAATATAATTGTTGAGAATGCCTGGATAGAACCAGATTTCTGGACTGTTCAACTTCTAACAGGACACGGAGACATAAAATAAAAGTTTCAACCCTTTAATAGAAGAGAGAGTACAACTTGTTGCTGCGGGGCGATTGACGACGCTAGACACTTACCTGCTTTTTGAATGGCGGTATGTATACCAACGGCCGACAAGTATTAGCAGGCGAGAATTCCTTGCTGGAATGGCCCCTTCAGTACCTGAGTCTTATTGAAGGTGCAACATTATGGAAAAAGGCAAACTCACCCAGGAGTTCTTACCAGATTAAGAATGATTGGATCGAGACAGACTTCAGCAGCTTCTCTCTGGCCATGGCAATATAAATTATTATCATAATGGTAATACGGTCCTGCAAGAACCCACTCCTCCTCCATTGCAGCCAACCAATCTCCAGACATCAGATCCGAGGGCGACTTCTTATGACATCTAGCTTATGGTAACATAAAAGTTCAATTTCTTCGATACAAAAGAAAACGTTTATGGTTACGGTGGGGCCATGGAAGATGTCTAACACGCCTTGTTTGATTGTGTAATGTTCAACAACGTTTGACCAGCTTTAGCCCCTCAGTCCCTCACATAATTGTTGCGACTCATAAGTTATTTTACGCCATGGAACATACTCGAAATCGTTCTTTCTGGCAAAAAAACAGATTGAAGCCTTTCTTGTAACCAATGTTCCTCTCAAAACAATTCATTTATTTATCTAGTCATCTAATTATTAATGATATTAGCAATCGTAATTATGGTGTAAATGAACTCTTTTCTCATTATTATAAGTATTTTAAATCTAAACTTTAATTGAAAAAAGTTTCAGTATTATAGAACTGTGTCAATCGGTTAGTCCTTTTCTTAACTGGGGCAATACTTCACGAGAGTGCAAGGCCCATCGCAACAACGGCCACAAGTCATCTCTTTGTTGTGACCCTCCTCTCCAATCCCGAATGCCAATGATGGACTGAGCGTCATCTGTCAAACAGAAAGCCCAGACCACTCTCGTTCCTGCAGACCTGTCTCCGTTCGCACAGCCATTCGTCCAATCTTTCTCTGGATTTAATCATCGGTAATTCTTGCCACATCTCCCGGCCACCGTAATCGACGTATTAATGACGGTGGTGATGTCTGCGTCACAATAAAGCACCATCTGTCCGTAATTTATGTGTTCCCTCCAACTACTATCACAGTAGAGAGCTCCATAGATTCTGCGGTTACTTCGGTTCTCAAGCTTATTTTTAAGTTTTCGGAAGCATCTAGCATTCCGATCCGTAGTTTAGCACGAGTATGATAAGGTTTTTATACATGCCTCGGTAGTCGTTACTAGATTTTGGGAAATATCCCTGCTTTTAAGATGTGTTCGTCGATGAGTCAATGATTTATATCGACCCTCAGATATGGAGGGTAGGAAGGATTTCGAATCCTCCTTTAATCCTCATCATGCCAAGTCGGAATAGCTATTAGTGCAGTGAAAATTTATGTCCCAGTTTGCTAAAGATGGAACTACTATCACTCATATTATTCATTCCCGAACCCGATTACATAAATCATAAAGCGAGTACATGAGTCGTTGATGTAAACAGAACTATTTTTACAACGCATTTTTATAAACTTTTATCGCCCAGAAAATTCAATTCGACCAAACCGTTATATTAGCTATTTTTAATTAATTCGTGAGCCAGAGAATACATTTATGTTACATATTTTAAGGATGGACACTTTATAAGATCTCAATCACTATCCGTTAAAGGCTCAATTCAACATTTGCCAGAAATTAAAAAAAAAAAAAAAAAAATCAACGATCCTGCATATGAAAGTGTTTGACACTAATTAGAGAGGATTGTAGTAAAATATTTGATGAATGGATACGGGAGTGGGGAGGGGGATGAAATTGATGCATATATGTACTTCAATTCGAAAAACTTCACAAACAGTTTGATTCTTTTTAAGAAAATCTCTAGTCGTTTGCACTTTTGGTTTAACTTAAGATATTTATATTTATCCGTTAACAACCTAATAAAAACCAACAATTTTACTTGAAAGCTCTTGACAAATATGACTATGATACAATATTTATATTCGATACATAACAGAATGATAAAATTCATCAGTGGCTATGAGCGATTTTTAAAATACTTCATGTTAAACAAAGCCTGGGTTGTATGACAGAAGGTCGTTCGCTTCAAAGGAAATATTTGGTAATTCCCTAACGCGGTTATCAAGTAATTTCTTTCCGAGCACTGAATTTATAAAATTCAGTATACTCTAATAAAACTCCTTTGAAGTAAAAACATTTAAATTGGAAAGAAGAAAAATAAATAAAAAACAGACATGCACCATGTGTGATGATACTATTAAGTATTTTTCTTGTGGGTATAATCATTATAACATTATAAATAATGTTTCTTCGACATTACGTGTTAGAAACCTTTTTGTTAATAAAAAAAAAGTAAAACTATTAACAGACTTGAATAAATCATTTTAAACTTTCTTTAAATCGTTTACAATTTTTTTGTATTTTAAGTAATTTATTTAAAAATTAGTCAATTTCCAATTATAGATATATTCATTACCTTGGTATTTGAAATAATTTCGATCTTTCTGCACATTTTTATATTTCTTACTAAACATTGTTTTTATTGATTGTCTACTTTTTTCTTTATCTTCGATGAAGATTTGAAAAATGTTTTGAGTTGACTGACATATCGGTATTGGTAATCAAAAAGGCGTAATGTTAATTTTAATCTCTTCTAATTCTAGAATATGAGAGTTTTTTCTATTGTTTTTGTTATTGTATATAAGGTATGAATGAACCTCACATAGCTCTAATACTCAATGCCCTTAGTTGAGGCAAAATGTATAATTTCTTAATAAATAAAAGAAAAGAAAGATAATATAAGTGTATGAAATCTTAGGTAATAGTTTTTTTACAATTTCTTTTGCAGAGTAATGGAGTGTATTTAATGAATTGCAAATAATATGTCAAAATAATTAGGTTGAAGAAATAGAAATAAAGAATTTCCACGGAAGAGAAGTTTTTCAATTATAATTTTTTTTTTTTTTTTAATCTTATCTTATTGTTTATTTAGAAATATCACATTCTGTCACATCAAGGACATTTATAATAGTGTTCAGAAAGCACACTCACACTCTATTTACAATAATAAAAATAAATAATACAGAAACTTAATAATAATAAATACAATAAAATAAAATAAATGTATATAAACAAAAGAACTAACCTAATCATACACACTCGGGCTTGAGTGGAGGATCTGGCCATTGGCAAAACTCCAGTAGATGCTTATTTACAAAAGGTCTCTGGGCCACTGTCGCTTCAACCTTCGAGGAGGATTGTAACGATGGGTGGTGCTGGATAGAGATTGTGCAAGGGGATTTGGATGATAGGTAAGGTTCTGGTGAAATTTGGAGAATTTTTCTGGAATAAGGTCTAGGACAAATGGGATATTAAGGTCATGGTGTAGGATTTTGTTAGTTACATAGAACGGAGAATCAACTATTGTTCGAAGGACTTTAGATTGAAAGGATTGAATACGTTTGATGTTAGAAGCTTTTGCTGTCCCCCACAGTTCAAGCACGTATGTCCATATAGATTTCAGTATTGTCTTGTAGATAAGTAATTTGTTTTCAATAGAAAGTTTGGATTTTCTGTTTAGTAGTCTGTATAGCTGGCCGTATCGTCGGTTGAGTTCTTGTCTTTTAAGTCTAGTATGTGGGTTCCATGTTAGTCTTCGGTCTAAATGAAAGCCAAGCAATTATAAATTAACAAAATAATCAGGTATTTCAACCTTCCACATTCTGTAAGTATAAGGGCTTAAAATCGTGTTTACATATACAAATAAAAGTGGAAAATGTAGTTATTTTTATGCAGTAGCGAATCATATAATATTTTTATATATAATAATAGATTAATATTTTTTTTTGGGAAGGGGGGGTGGTTATTGCTCTTTTATTTTATTTTTTTTTAAATACTTCAATAACTTGAAAGGAAAATAATAATAAACTTCCTATGAAATGTTATTCATGCGGTCCTTGAAAGAAAAAATAATTAGCAGAACAATAATACTTTTTGAGATAAATTTCAATATCTTCTTGATGCACTCCTGTACTTACTAGCTCTGTATGTATTATAATTTAATAGGAGAACATATTGTAATTGTTTGAGTAAATAGCTTAGATCACTCACATTAACAAATATGGGCCGATGAAAAAAAAAAATATTTTTTTTCATTTTGGGAGGCTTCAGCATGAAAATCCTCACCACCCTTGTTAATAACAAATAATAAATACATTTCATAATGTTTAAACAATAGATTATTTCGATTTCCATCAAGATGATTCAACATCAAAAAAATAATATAATATAATTAAATTTTGTTACCGGGAAGATGGTTTTTCTTTCTTCTCCTCAGGCGGTTCTTCATCATCATCGGTTTTTATGCAAGTTATTTTTTGCAGTTCAGCATCATGCCCGTCGTGCTGTAACAAAAAAAAAAAAAAATAAATAATGAGTTTGTTAAATTATTTTATTAAAATACAAAATTTATATCAAGTGTGTTTCAGGATTCAGTAGCCAATTGAATTAAGGAACTCAAAATAAGCAAAAAGATCCTATAAAGGTAAGTCCGCAAACGCTTTGTTTAGGAGATATTCACATCTAAAGATTTTCATTGTTATGAATTATTTACGTTGTATTAAATAAATAAAACTTATTTATTAGTTCTAACTACTTTATCAATTAAACGTAAACATTAAATTCATATTATATGTTGTTCAAAGCGATTTCCTTGAACAATAAATAAGACAGGCTCGGCATCTTTCTTCAACAGCAGCAGTGGCAAAACGGCACTGGATATGTGTTATTATTTCACAAGATTTAAGTATCCTTCTTCGTAAGAAATTAAGGTTATTGACAGAAATCGCATAGGCTTTTTGTTTAATGTCACCCCAAACAAAAAATTCCTGTCAGGTCTGGAGAACGCGCATGCCAAGCCACAATTCCTGAACGGTCATTCCATTGATTGGGATAATTAACATTTCGCCATTGTCTAGTGTGGACTCTTCGGCAATGTGCAGGACAACGATCTAATTGAAGCCACATGTCCCTTCTCAGCTGTAGTGGAATATATAATCATAAATAGTAATCATTATTAAGCGATTCGAGAAATGTGTCCGCACTGGGTCGAGGCGGTAAGAAATGCGGACCTATTAAAATATTGTCTATTAGCCCCAACGAATTAATGTTATGATATGAATATGAATGTTAATGTCTACATTTAATTATTAAAGTAGTTAGAACAAATAAATAGGTTTTATTTATTTCATATAACGTAAATAATTCATAACAACGAAAATCTTTAGGTGAGAATATCTACTAAACAAAGCGTTTGTGGACATATCGTCAGAGGAATGCTTTTTCTTATTTTGAGGTCCTTAGTTCATTTTTGCAGTTTGGCCACTTAACCTTGAAACATTTCTTTAAGTTAACCCTGTATATAAATAATTTATAGCGTTAGGGTATCAATGTTTGGTCAGTTAAATATTTAACGAGTAATTTAAGTTTAAAAAAAAAAATAGAGCTGCATTATTTTTTTATCAAATAAATGTGTAGTATACCGATTGGTTTAGAATACATATTCATAAAAATCTGCGAAGAAAGAATTATCTGAGTGACACCTAAATTTTCAATTCAAACTTAAATTAAAACTTTTTGGGTACAACGGAAAGAACAAAAGGGTGTGTATCAATACGTTTTGGATATAAAATATTTTTAAAAAAATGATGGTTAAAATCGGTGATCCGCTGTAAGTGGCCTCTCTATAGAAGTTGATTCCACAATAATTTTGAATTGAACAAATTTCATAACAAGCAAGCCGGATTACAAGAACTGTAGTAATTTTTGTTCTTTATTTGTAAACTACAACTAAAACTTCAATAATGTCTTTGTTAAATTTACAATATTGCTTACGTTTCATAAGTACTATACTTTCACACTTATTTATTGAGTAATATAACATTCCGTGAATTGAAAAATAGTTACAGTGAAGTAAGACTACATTCAAAATCATATATACATAAAAATATAAAATAAACAGAAGCAAAACAACGAATAAATAATAGATATATAATAGTGTATAGTTCAATATTAAATTAGTTACCTGACAATACCACAACTATCAATAGATATTTAATTAGTATTACACTGCAAACGGCGCAATTGGCGAAATTGCCCCCGTCGCTCTTGGAATCTATAGACATTATATTACGAAGAAGTATTAAGGCGATGGTAGGTTTACCGGCCAGCACTTGCTCAGCGATGATATAGAGGTTTGGGTCTGTTGAGGTGTCAAAGGGATGTTCCTTTTCAGCTCTGGCCCATTTCCCATAATTTGGCCAATGTTACAGGTGTCCTGTTTCAGAGGATCTTAGGGATCGAAGTGAGCAGTATGGAACCATCGCTAACAGTTAGGAAGGTGAGACAGTCCCTGAGGGAAAAGTCCTTTGATGAGTGGAGCAAGTGCAAATGGCAAGGGAATTGGTGTGTCCCATATTGAATCTAATCCGTGGATCAATAAATTTAGTTATGATAGAAAAGTTCTTACCGGCTCAGAATGGACTAACGCCATGAAAGTTATTTACGCTCCTCTCCGCGGACTACAAGGGGTGCCGCAATGTGACCGAGAGTCAGAAACCCCAGCTCATGTGTTGGGGAATTGTCCACATAACATAACATGCTCCTAATCACCCGCCGGCACAATAACATAAAGCATCGTATAGCCCAATTCCTAGAAATAAAGAACTATAAATGTTTCCTCGAAGTTTACTGTCTGGATACAGAAGGCTTAACAAGGTTCCTTGACATCTTAGCGTTCAATGCGACGGAAAAGGAGGCACTCATAGTGGATCCCACGATCAGATTTAAAACCAACGATCAGAATCAGGACGTCAAGGAACAGGCAGAGAAATTTATACGAAATGCACATCTTACCTGAAGGAAACGTACATAGATGAATCCGGCGAGAGAGAATACTTAGTTAAAGGGCTATGGTTCTGAAGCAGGGGAAGCATCCCTCATAATACAAGTAGTTTCTTGGAGAGGCCCGGGGTTGGAAGGGAGCAGGTCCAGGCTACGAGAGAAACGATTATTTTAGACTCGTTAGGAATCCTCCATCACCACATATATTGATCTAGGCCTTCACTTATTTGATTCTATGAACCGTTCTTGGCATTTCTGATATGTGTTCCAATGGTCCGACCTAACTCGCTCTTATATTTCCATACAGTATTATCTTTTGATTGATGAGTATGCTGTGCTATATAGCAGCTCGACACTGTTGAACAGCCGTGCAATGTTGAATTTCTCTGTCCCATTTTTAATGGGGCATGACGACATATTTATGGGACATTAGTTCATATTTAACCGGTCTGTTTAGCTAATGCTAATTATTTAAATTGTTTAGATTATGTCCTCTGACCTTTACTTTTAATACTATATAAGTGTATATAGTATATAATTATATACTATAAATATAATAATAAATTTCAGCTAGACCCTTCGCAATAGTCGATCATTTTTCTTAGTATTTTTTTTCATTCTCAACTCCGATGTTTTTTCCAATAGGCCATTTTCAAAAACATCATCATAATTAAAAAATATTAAGGAATTATTTGTATAAAAATACTTTTAATTATAATGACGTTTTAAATGGAAACAGCCTAAAGGCTCAAACGTTGGGGATGACAATAAAAATATGTTAAAACAGGATCAAGCTGAATTTTATCAGTAATCAAGTCTCAAACTTCTAAAAAGTTTATTTGCAAAATGTTACTAATTAAAATTTCATAAAATTAAACCACGATGTATTTTGATGAATTTTTCATAAATAACAAAACGTTATGAACTTTGAGTAACTATATTGATATAAAAATGGGTTGGTGTCCTTCAGATGCACTTACTGTGTTTTCATATTCATAAATAATGTCGAAATTTTCTAAAACGTGCATACAAATTTATCTCCATCAACAATCTAGTTACTGACTTTTAGCTAAAAAGCAACGAAACTTAAATTAACACTCTATTTTAGTTGAAATATTGTCATCATTACATTAAAATTTCTATACCCCTTGTATCCATTTATTAATTATAAAATCACCCACTTGATTGTAATGTTATAATATTTTTATCTTTTATATCTGAATAGTGGGTAATTGCGTTTTTAGTATCTCTTTCATAATTCATGGCGAACTATACCATCTCTTATAATTTTATGTTTCTGATTACGATTCGGAAATCATTACTTTAAATTAACATTCAATAATATGCATTATTATATTAAGCCTAAATGAAATTAAACCCTTTATTATTCCGTATGAACTAGAAGATCTTTTCGTCCGGTGTCCATTTGCCCTATGTTTTTTTTATTATTTTAATTTTAACTTTTTTATTTTTACAATTCACATTTCTTTATTAAGTAATGTTACAATTAAACACATTGGTAATAGTGATACAGTGATTCACACTGTATGTCGGTACAATAAATACAAATAAACAAAACTAATAAAAAAAAAAAATAAATACCGGCATAATTTTATGCAATATATACAAAATTCATTCACTAAGGAGAACTCCGAGTCAAGCCTTTTCCTCGACTCGTGAAAGGCAGGAATCTAGGAGATCCCAGCGCCTCTCGCTCCGATCCGTTACTGGTAATTTTCAAAATTAAAGTCGCATTGCAATTTAATAGAGTGAAAAGGCACGAGCTGTTGCATTTGTATTTTTTGCATTAAGCAAGTAGAGTACATATTTGCATTAAATTAATCATTTGTTGTTTATTTCAAAATCAACTCAAATCAATTTTAAAAATTATTAGGGTATCCAATGCTTACAATCCAAAATCATTAATGCTCCTTATTATGCCACAAATAAAATTATTCATAAAGACCTCAACATTCCCTTTGTTGAAGACTTGGTCCGACTAAGATGCTCCTCTTTTAATTCCAAACTCCTTGGACACCTTAACCCTCTAGTTCATAACCTTTCATCCAAAACAATTCCTGACGACCCTCCGAGGCGTCTGAAAAGAAGAAGGCCAAGGGACCTTCTAAATTGATTTATGTTTGAAGTGCTACCAATGGGTAGTTTCATTACGAGTTTTTAACATGTTTTAGCAGATTTCCTTATTGTATGTTTATACAGTTGCAAATATCAATAAATGAACAAAAAAAAAAAAAAGAAGAAATCATTAGGTATTTACCTAACCAGTAAATAAATAAGATTTCCCCCCTATAAATTGCGTAATTTTTCTATTCCTTCCATCATTGCGAGAAGGATAGCATTGAATTTTATTGAGCCATCCTCTAACTGAAATAAACTCCAGCGATTGAATCCCATCGGCTGGAAGTTTGTTATGATAGAAGTCTCTGCAGTTGGCTGGCAGGCTGGAAGACATCACCAAGAGCTTTCCTGATTAAACTTTTTCC